AGGAGTGTTGGACATTACCCGAATAATATATCGTGTATATGGTGACATCTCACTGAAAATGCTCGAGAATCATGCACGTGATAGACACATGATAAATACATGCACGCGTGTTCGGTCACAGGATGAGCAGCCGATATTCAATACTCACTCTCTCGTCAGACGTGTATAAGTTAACGTGCCTGCGGACTTTTGTATAAATCAGAATATATATCTATAAAATAATATCTAGTAGCCATTGCAGTTATACCATTCAAGTGTGCTATATCGTCGCGGAATGTGTTCGTGATTAACATTTAATTAAATCATAACTGGATTCTCAACAAATATAATTACACGTTTCGAAGTAATACTAATTTCATTTGAAGATAATAAAGCACTAATTACTCGCAGTACTTATTAAAAGCTCTTGAAGATATCATTAAACGTATAATGTGAATTATATATCCATATAAATAGAACAATTAAAACTCCACCGATATCGATAATTCGATATTTATCGATTATAATTATGTTTCTGAGGATAGAGTATAGACTGCCTCCCTAATACATATATATTTTATGGTGTTGCATTTTCACTAAAATTTCGTTTCGCTTTAAACGAACTTCAGTTGATATGGCGTACTAGCACGCCTCTCGTGTCCCGTAAGGAAGATCCTGTGGGCGAATTTATCGAAGAGCGCCCACGGGGAAAACATCGTAACACGTTGCACGTTGTATCCCAGACTGGTTGTGCACCTGTTTCTCTGGGGTGAAAATCCCATGGGTGGATCGTAATGGTAACTAAAGAGAATATTGTCTTACTATATCGCGATTATGTAAATATTTTCATTCTAAGCACATCCGTATATTTGCTTTACCTGATTACCTTTAATTGACATTTCATATTCATTATACAGGGTGTCCGGTAACTAACGGACCAACGATCACAAATGGATTCTTTGGTCAATTTGGGAACGATTTTTCCTCAGCGAAAATGTCGAAAAAGATCATTATTTTTCACAACTTTCCAATATTTGTCATTATGTGTCTTTATAACTAAGCCTCAAATTAAAACTTTATTATAGCAAACTCTACCTGAAATTAACTGAGGAATGTAATTATGTTAGACTTTTAACTCCAAAACGTTTAGTTTTCAAAAAACCCATTTTTTCAATCGCTTATAACTTGAAAATTATTGACTTCTCAACATTTTTGCTAAGGAAAAATCGTCTCCAAATTGGCCAAATTGGTCCGTTAATTACCGGACACCCTGTATACTCTTTTATTGTTACACGGAGAAGTGTTCGCAGCAAGAATGATCGTTATGAATATAATTTGTTATACATGAGAATATAAAATACACGTTTTGCGTTCCGCCTATATCTAAATATTCTAATGGAATCCAACCCTACATAGCTCTAAAGCCGGCTTTCCTTGTGACGATTCGTCATAGCGGTTGACAGACTAAATACCGTCCTCCGACGAGTTTTTTTTTTTCCACAAAGGATCGGTTTCTTCTGTCGTGCAGGGATACAACATATACCGAAGGGGAACGTGGACGGGAAAATATGTCTGCTACGTTCCGCGCGCATTATAAAGCACCTTTTGCGGACGTATACGGGGCAGCGGTAAGTCCGACGAAAACCTGCGAGGGTGACGTGTGGTAACAATATATATGTATGTATAACCGAGCGACGGGCTAGCGGAAGTATACATAAATATACATTTTCATGATGAATATACTCGGGGAAATATATATCATCCGGCGAAGAGAGAGAGAGAGAGAGAGAGAGAGAGAGAGAGAGAGAGAGAGAGAAAGAGAGAGAGAGAGAGAGAGAGAGAGAGAGAGAGAGAGAGAGAGAGAGAGAGAGAGAGGAGAGAGAGAGAGAGAGAGAGAGAGAGAGAGAGAGAGAGAGAGGATTCCGAAGGTTAGAGCTCCGAAGGTGGAGATATTGTGAAAGGAGGGATAGTTTAGGATGGGCGTTCAGATGCGATGCATCATATCAGTGGGATTCGTGAAGGGATATCGCCGGAAGATAGATACGTCAGGTCTTCCCGGCGAATATTTCGCGAACCCTTCTTAGCTCAGCTTGATGTGCCAGGCGCTAATTATTATACGCTTTCATCCCCCAAAAATCAGTGCATATTAATGATTGTTCAATGGAGGACAGGGTGTCCCATAAAAAATTGCTAAAACTGATCAGCTGTCATCTTTAATGCATGTAGTTATTGAGGAAACAAAAAGTGTGTTGAAAAGAAGATATCAATGATTGTTAAATGGAGAACAGGGTGTCCCATAGAAAATTGCTGAAACTGATCAGCTGTCATCTTTTAATGCATGTAGTTATTGGGGAAACAAAAAGTGTGTTGAAAAAAGGATATCAATGATTGTTAAATGGAGAACAGGGTGTCCCGTAGAAAATTGCTGAAACTGATCAGCTGTCATCTTTTAATGCATGTAGTTATTGAGGAAATAAAAAGTGTGTTAAAAAGAAGAGTCTGCAATTTTTAATGGATATAAATAAAATGTTTGTATATCAGTTTATTTTATTAAAAAAAAGTAATGAAAAAAGTACTAATGTGAACTAATGATAAATATTTGCAAAGTGCGCACCATTTAAATTGGTACAAAATTCTGTTCTTTTACGAAAACTCGTAAAAACTTTTTCCAACATGTCATTTTTAATGTTATTGATAATCCTTTTAATAGTTGCTATTAAATCTGGCACTGTTGAAAATATTTATCATTAGTTTATGTGATTTTATGTAATTATTAGCACTTTTTTCATTACTTTTTATTAATAAAATAAATTATTATACAAATATTTTATTTATATCCATTAAAAACTGCAGACTTTCCTCTGCCTAACACAATTTTTGTTTTCTCAATAACTGCATGCATTAAAAAATGACAACTGATTAGTTTCAGCAATTTTCTATGGGATACTCTGTACATGAGAAATAAAATTTGACGTAGACTGAAATTCAATGCGCTACTAAATTATTATACCACCATGGAAAATATTCGTGTTTTGACATAATATATCGTGTTATCTTTTCATCGCGAATTCTTGTCGTATTTTCGAGTACCCGAAGTCTAGATATTTTATATAGAAAATGTCAGAGATGATTCACTTATAATATACATTAAATTTTTCAAACATGAATTATTAAATGTCTGTTTCAAAGTAAAAATATTCGTGAAGAACGAGTGAGTAATGAACCACTCGTATTATTCAGAATTAACTTCATAAAAATTAATCAGTCACATAAAATATTATTGTTTTGTTACTAAATAAAACTGCGACAGGATATGCCCCAAATGTCGGCTAAATTTTTATCGAGGATAGCTATTATCGTTAATGACGGATATGACGGCAAACGATTCGATCCAGACACATATAGAAAAGAGAAATGTCACAGAACAATTTTTAAAAAGCTCATTATTTTAACATTTATTAATTATAACTTTCCAACAATGTCAACGACGACAGACTGATATAGGTACAGCACTTCATTGAATTATCGCGTAATACGCGTGTCGTGAAAAAAATCCTTTTAACCCCGAACACATAAATAAGGCAGATCCGCCACAATAATCCGCGAAACGGATTATCCAGCCGTTGAGATGAACATAATGGAAGAGGTCCTCGTTTACTCCGTGGTGTCGTCGAGGGAGAGAGATAATAGAGAGGTTCGCGATTTTAAATTCCCTCTCGGCGCACGTTCCGCAATTCCGGAGCACCGATTCCATCCGTGAAGATCTCATCGTAGCTTCCTCCGCCGCTCATTTAATCTCTCTCGCTCGACTCCGAGTGAATTCCATAAAATGTAGCGCCTCTTAAACCCTCTCGAGAGCTCTTCCGGTACGTTGTTCCATTCTTCTGCTACTCAACTCGGTTCGATTACGAGAGACAGTCGCTTAGACAGCTCTCCGGCTCTTGCGGGCTAATTTGAACGACGAAGTAAACGAGAGCCAATCGGAAGCTCTAGATGGGGATAGATGATGAAGGATGATACGCGAAAATTTCATTTCCGGAAATGCATTTAGCGTTGCGAAATAATTGTAAAGTGTGAAACAATTAATCTGCATGTATATACTGATGTGAATAGATTTCTGAATGTGTTGTGCAAAAAATTATATATTTACTCTTGCTTGTTATCATCGATTAAATATTACTCTAATTCATTGCAACATCAACATGCTAGATAAAAATGCAATCGACCATATCCGCATTTAAACTGCATTCATCCGGAATATTCTGGCGCTGTGCGTCAAGCATCTTGCGCATTGTAATATTTACTTAAAGATAGGACAATTTAATTAAGAAGTAGATATTTAAAGAAATGCCGTCAACAAGATTTATACCGTTTGCATATTTAACCAGTTCCTTTTTGAAGTAATTAATATTCTCAAAATGTTTTCGTAGCACGAATTAATTCATTCCTGTACCATCTTCCAACATAAACGTGCACTTGAATTGTACCAACGCTAGATATCACGGTTTACTATCATGTCGATGAAACTGGTTGTGAGAGAGCCATCATCTTCAGAACTGATACCTGGAAATTCACCAGATAATCGACCGGCGGAGCCAGCAAAAGTCGGCTTCGTGTTCTGCGTGCGCAGCGGGAATTCTGAAGACGGGTGAACGAAGGACGGGTGCGCTTTCTCATGACCAGATGTCGGCAGTCTGTCTGCAACCGGTTCGATCCGGTGTATACCGCGCATAAAGCAACGCGCATTCATTTCCATTGACCAGGCCGTAGTTGGAGCCGTGCTGCACTTGGGCCAATAGTAACAGTACAACATCGTTGAGCACACCGTGCGTTTAACGTCAGTCTCGTCGTGGTGCTCCATCTTCGCACGTCACGCCGAAAGGTCGAGCAGACGATTTCCGCGGATCGATTGTCGGAATCGCATCGAAATCAGGATCGTTCCGATCGCGCGTCACCAAGACGATCTCACCGTGATCGCAAGGCTGGGGATCGAGATTCTCGTGGTGAAACGCGTTTAAAGGCCGCGCGAAAGCTGCAACTCTTCTTCGGCACTCGGACCCCACAGCGGAACTCGCGAAGGAAGAGGTGAGTCCCGGCGATGAACTTTCGAACGCTCTTGAACGTGCCTGCACTCAACCTGGCTCTCCTCGTCTGCTTTCGTCTTCTCTTCGGAGAATCTACCTCGCTACTTCGACCTATCGATCAGAGCTACGTCCGTCATAGTAAATCCGTGTGTGCGCGTTCACAAAATCGTGCCGATCATCACGATGCATATTTGTCCCGCGCGAACAAGTCATCGTTGTTCGTTGACAGACCTGACGTCGTGACAAACTCGGTTGAGTCATACGGCACTGCAACCACGAAGGTCGAACCTGGCGCGCTAAATCGATCGCGCGCGAACACGACGTTGCGCGAACGATCTCTCATCGTGGTATTAACGTCGCCTTCTAGGCGGATCGGTCCCATTGGGACGGTAGGGAAACGGGGTTAGACCGGACGATCGATCGTTCCCAGAAAAACTAGACGTCGCGGAATAGTGGTCGATGCAATGCCAGTCCTCGATCTAGCTTAACTGCTGGCGCGCTCTTACGTATCGCGATATAGAGGGATCAGCCCTTCTGTCTTCTGTCAACTGTCTTTCTATTTTGGGAAATTTGAATGATTTATTTCATGGATACTGTGTACTTTGTACAGTCTCGGGAGAGACGATATCTCTGTCGTCTGAGTCGAATAAGAGCATTTCCTACTCTTTTACATTCCCTGGGAACTCGGTATCTAGAGATTAGATTTACGTAACGACAACTTTCACGAGTCGAGCATTTTTATTGATGAAGTAAAAGTAACTACAAAATAATGAGTAATGATTTCTTCATGTTTTTAAATATTGTTTAACATGTTTTATAACGTTGTTTATAACATTCCATCTAGAAAAGAATTAGAATTCTTTCATGTTGAAAAGACATATTCTTCGCAGTTTTCTTAGAAAAACTTTTACAGTTCTTCTTAGAAGAGAGAAATAAACAAAAACCACTTTACACGTTCCAATTCTCATCAACAATTATCGCACCCGTTATCTGATCGCAGACATAACAGCTTGTGCAGCTGCTTTGATGACGCTCGAAGCATGCTGGATCGATGCTACGTGTGAATTGCAGAACGAAAAAAGTTGTAAGATACAAAAAAAAAACTGTCAAACGCGATTAGATTTTTCATCGAATTGACAATTTAATATTTAAAGTCGCGTGTAAAATCCAACTTTGACTATTTTGTGATTTTATATTAACTTTCATATAAAGTATCACATAATAAAGTGGAGCATAAAATATAGAGGTTCTGCCTCTTAAGAATGCACGCATGTTATAAAGCTTTATTGCCTTGTCGTTGCAAGATATATTTTAAAATCACGTCAAAGCATAATAATAAAGAGGAACAGATCAGCGCGATTCAATGATTCTCTGTCTTACTGTTTTAAATATGTAACATTTATAAATATTTAATTAACCCTCTTAAATTTTTAAGTAACATTTCCACATATATTTCTTTAATAGCTGACGTTTTGTAACTAATCAATAATAGAAATATTTAACAAATTAATAAAGCTAATGGATATTTTATGTTGTTTGTTAGCAATACTAAAGTTTTCTCAATAAAATACATTAATTGAACAGTTCGAGTTGATGTCAAGTCGGGCAGTGTCGGACGAAAAATTAGATGTCGAGAAACGGGGTTAACCCCGACGTTACACGCGAGTATCTACGCGAAAAATCAATACGCGACTCTTCTGGGACCCGTTTTACAACACGCGCGCGGAAGTTCATCGGCGAATTGGTGATCATCGCGTAAACCCCAACAGCGACATGCATACATATTTTGGCCGGAAAGGTCCTGGCCAGATCGATCGATTTCCTGTTTGCTGGCGCGAGGCCATAAGCAAGTCGAGCTCGCAGCTGATCCAGTTGCTGCACTCGGCGCCATCGATATTTCAAGTGCTTGCTTCTCAAGTGATATGCGCTTCACTTAATATGAGATAAATAAATTTTTAAATAGCAGATTCTCCCGCGCGTATATGAATTCGTTAGATTTCTTTCGTATCTTGCGTGAATTATTTTGTCTTATTAAGAAATTGACAACCTGTTTTGCTTCAATCAATTTAAATAATTGATGTAATTTATTACACTAAATTAGAATGTAATGACATAAGAGATATAAGTCATTCTTTTTAACAGATTAGAAAAAAATAGTTGTTCAAAGATAAATATAAATAAATTGTCCATTTCTCAAAATTTTTGTGAATCCAATTCTATTTAACACATAAATTATTGAATATTCAATTGAATATTAAATTTTTCAAAGTAAGAAAACTTGATCGTAAAACAATTGTGTACGTTTGCAAATTCTTTGCAGTATTTTGTCTTAATGCTGATCGCGCAATAATCATTCAGTGCTTAATAATAGAATAATGACAACGATAATAATCTTATGAAATTATTTTTTTCAACTAGCGGAAATCATAATTAATAGGAAGCCACAAACGTATAAATTATTATCAAATTAATGCGACACACAATAATTGTATTCCCACTCGAAAAGATTCTTCAAAAATGAATAACAATTTTATTTTTGCTATTAACAGTTCAGTTTGATGTATATTGAAACACTTTGAAAGCATTTCGTTGTAATAAAATTTTTAAATATAAACCTGGTTTTTTCCGAATTGCAATTTATCGGACGTCATATACATAGATCAATGGCTGCACCCAAAGGGCTACACCCATAATTAGAGACTTGATATATGTGTGTGCGTGTGTAACGAATTAAATTTCTGTGTGGTTATCAATTATTATCAACGATGTCGAAGGAAAACCGAGGAAAAAAAGATACGATAAATGCGTCTCTCTTGATCGATGGATCGATGAAGTGATGTTAATAGCAGACAAATTGCAGACGAATTCGTACTCCGTTCGTACCGATTTATTTACCGAATTTGCATTCTCTTTTGCATGTATTTGTCTATTTTTCTCACGAATTTACGTCACGTTTCGCGTCAATCTTGCAATCAGCTGATACATAGTTCAAGAATCTTAAATTATTAGTTTATTGATTTCTACTTTATTCACACGCGTTTAATTAGCTGTTAATAATAGTTAACTAAAAAGTGAATACCTCACATGATTATATTGTTTCTTGTTCGCACGTTTCCTTTATTAATATGTTTCACGAAGATGCATAATTAAATAGTTTAATTAGCATGTCGCGTCATGCATGATTCTCTCGATATACAACAAATTCGATGGATTTTGTGCATGTGGATCGTTATATTATGTGACACGCATTTTTATTTCCTACATTTTAGCGAGGACGATTCTGCGAGGCATCGGCAATAACGTTTTCGATCAAAGTCACGCAATAAAATAAATCTAATTATAAAGCTGCAGCCGCGCCATGGAACTTCTACGTGTTCGGCTTACATATTTCTCGATTGATCTATTTCTCTACAGAATATATAACTTGAAATATAGTTTCATGAATAGTTCATCGAACATTACATTATTGGCAAAAGTGATTTTGGAAAAATGTTTCTTCTTCAAAAAATATAAACATAGATTTAATATAGAAAATTATAGAATATATATAGATTTAAAAACAATTCTAATTTCTATACTTTTGCGTGGTTATTTTTAGAAACATTAAACGCGTATATCATAATGTATAAGAGACAAATGAAATTAAATTATATAAATCTGTCATTTTATATGCAATATAATAATAATAATAATATAAATATATAATAATTAATTAAATCAGAATCGTTAGAAACAAAATTGTGTATCTATCACTAAACATTCAATCTTATTTGTCTATTTCTCTGTAAAATTTATCGGGAAGAATTTTCTACAGGAAATCCTTCATTATCTTTTATGACCAGAGCACATTGATAGCTGCCGACAAAAATGAGAATAGAACGAACATGACATTATTTACGCATATAAAATCAATTCCACTTCGATTAGCTCTGATAACTGCCTATAATTAAAGAATAAAAATTAACTTTTAATTAGATATTAATTAATCTATGGCTGCGACTATCGTTTCATGAAAATCTTTCTCAAAAGATCGACATTATTTATTTCCGATCGAACGATTGCCGATGCCTCGAATCGCGCTGCGGTCACAGGATCTCCTTATCTTTGTTTTTCTTTCTTTTGTTCCTTTGCCGTTCGTTTGCCTTTTTGACGTGCGATATTGGCATATCGGCTTCGGGCACGCCTATCATCATCAACAGCAGCGACAACGCCTCAACTCCAGGCGCCTTCGAGGCGATTCCTCGCCGAGAAGGGCAAATATCTTTGGACGCCGGAAATCATCCTCGACCAGCAAAGAACGACCAACTAGGTCGTGTCGGGTGAGAGACGACGTCGCAAGCCAGAACAACGAAAAGTCACGCCATGCCGGCAGGTATTGGCGCTTCGTACAGGTCGTTAGGCGACCTGGGCGAAGACGTTTACAAAAGCACAACCATCGTTGACCAGACACAGACCACCGGCCAGAGCGTTCTCGAATCAGTGAAGAAGGCTTTTAGCTTCGCCTCGCCAAAGGTCGAGATCCGAAAGAAGGACCCGCTGATCGAGGACCATCGCGAAAACATCTCGATTGTCTCAAGGTAATTGCCTTAAGCGACATTGTCCGGAAATATGGGGGAGAAACCGGTCAGAAGGTAGGGATATGGTCGCGGGATATATTTCGCTGGGTTCTTCGATCTCGAATTTAATGCCCTCTCTTGCTCTTTTGAGCATCGATAGTTCATTAATTGTAATTAGACTTTAATGTAAAATGACTTTAAAATAAGATATATATATATATTTTTTTTTTAATTTTGTGCATATACATGATTTTTCACGAAATGGAAATTAATTTACAACTCTGATATGTTTGCTTAAATTATTTTGCCGTTTTACCAATTTTGGTACAATTGAAATTTTAACTTCAAATTCAATTATATTTTGTGCATGAGTTAACTTTACAGTGTCTTTTTAATTGTATCGGAAAATTGTTTTTAATAATTGATATGATATGAATTGAATAAAAATTGATATGATATTTAATATTACAAAGTAAAATAAAATTTATATATATGTATAACAAAAATGAGAAAGAAAAGAAAATATACTATTTATAAAATATACTTATTAAGTTAATATTTCTTCTGGAATAACTTAGAAGTATCACAATGATAATAATCAATAATCTGACGTAGCATACTCTTATATAAAAAATTATGCAAATGATAGAACACAAAATTGTAGCATAGTTTAAATTTTTATAAAAAAGCTGCGTTCTCTCGTAAGAAAAAGTTGCATATTCTTATGATCAACTGAAATTTTGTAAATCAGAAAGAGGGAAGTGCATTATAATTTGTGTTCCCAGAAGAAGGAAATATTTAATTTTACTCATTTCGTTTATGTTAATTTAATGTATACAATATTATGGATATAAAGCTTAAAAATGAGAATGCATAATCAACAACAGAATAAGTAATGCAAAATTATTAATAAGTTTGTGAGCAACGAACATTTCGAGATCGAAGATACATCAGGGCATGATTCTAGTGCTTTTGTTGTTAGCTACTATGGCGAACAAGTTTCATGAAATCAATTGTAACACTATCGATGCAATTTTCTCAACTTTCGTTGCATGTTTATAGGCTGACTAAAAGCATCTCTATTCTGATATTTATTAAAGCGTATATATATAAATATTTTAATATATGTAATTCGATATAAAATTTATATAATATATTAAATATTTTGTTTTTATATTTCCTTTACTGGGCATATAAAAATGTTATATAATACAATTACCTTTTTTATAATAAAGGTAGCACATATAATTTGACACTAAAATTTTAATAAGAATTTAAATAAAAATTGTCTTAAGAATATACAAAATTCTAAGTTTATAAATCTGAAAGTAGTATGATGACTTGAAGAGATATATTATTCAAATATTATAATATTTTTCACAAATACGTAAAATATAACTTCCACGAGTCGTTACTCGCATGAAAAATAAGGCCATACGATTCGCATTATTCCAGAACGTTGACCAGCAAATTCTCAAATTGATTTCCTACTTCCACTTTCGAGATCCTGATTTGTCAGAACATTATATAAATTCTCTCATATACTACTCTGTGGAAATGTTTCAGAAAATTTTATAATATAATTCTATTCCGTTCAGCTCTTTTATATTTGTTCAAAATCTATTTTTTTTTAAATATTAAATATAATATTTTATATGTAATATAATATATAATAATTATTTCTTTTGAAATTTTATACATTTTGATATTTAAACATGCATTAATGAATCACGTTTCATTTAAACAACATGTTTAAAAGTATACTATATGTGCTACATATATATATATATATTAAAAATATAGTCATCTTTAGCAACGAAAACGTTAACCATATTAAAATAGAAATCGCTGAAAATATTTTATACAAAAAATAAAAAAATTAAAATATACTCGCCAATGTTATTAATTATACTAACGTTTGCAATTTGATCATCTTCAATATTACTAATGACGATTGTTCGCTTTGATGCTGCCCAAAAGTACTGAATATATATATGCCAAAACTAACATGTTCAAAAACTAAACAACTTCAACATATCTCAGAATCTAACACAAGCCAAAGATTCCTCGCAACTTTGCGCGCATGCTACAAATTGCTCAGCAGCTTTAGCAACCTCTACTGTTATTAAATACGGTTCGTTTTCTCCACGAAAATCAATGAATACGCGAGCACAATACATGTATACACGTCAATAAAACGAGTTAAAGAATTCTCGAATATTTCTCTGAATTTTTTTATAAAAAAATACGCAGATTGATAGAGATAAAAATTATCTGACTGTGAACGTATATCGATTCAAAGAAAGAAAAAAGGAATGTTGATTTCGTAAAACGACATTTTGTAGAATATTTTTCGCAAATACCAAAATTTGCCTTGTACAAATTGAATCGGCTATAAAGCCAATACATCTCATTTTAGATTAGTAAATTAGTAAGTACAGATAAACTTCAGGCTCGGATGTTAAAGGCGCCGCTATCGATCAGTTCGTGCTAAAGACAAGCGAACCCAAGGTAAGTCACGTTATGACACCTGTCAAAAAGTCATTTCGTCTCTTTCCCTCACGCTTCTAGTCTCGCACGCACTCACTAATAACACCAGCTTCCCTTTTGTCTACGCAATGGCCATCATCATCGTCATCATTACCGCTTGGTTCATAGTTATACTATTACGTTGTTATTATCACCTTCTCCGTTGCATGCACGCGATAGGCCGTCTTCCTTTGTCCTTGCAACGCTCGAGTTGCGACTGTCCGCGTCGCTTCACGGCGCGCAACGGAAACGCGTGCATTGCGGAACCGGCTTCTCGAGTCGAGTGACCAAGGGTGATTAAATGCGAACAATCGAGGGGTCCGGCTACCGTCATCCGAGTCTATCGTGGTCAATTTTAAAAATCAAAACACCATAATGCAACATTGTTATACTTGCAATACAATTTTCTTCAAACTATTAGGATGTAAAGGATTTTGACTTATATATTCTTGCCGTTTATTTTTATCTCACGATTCTTCGATTTTAATATACGTTTACATTTTATTTAAAATTCTTGGATATATGCATAAGTGAATTCATCACTGAAAAATATATTTACTAATTATTTATGAGAATTGAAAAATAATAAGGATTGAAGCACATATATTGAATGTTTTAATTATTAAAAATTTAATATCTTTAATTAAAAGAATAGATAACTTTTTATTACGTGTAAATTGAAAAATTGAAAAATACTATGCTTTAATTTTATAGCATGAAGTTTAACTCGATTTCTCTTAGGGAGCAATTTATTTAAGTACGCAATGTCTGAATACGAGATTGTTCAGCTCTTTAGGTTTAATTGGCCGTAAAAAATGGTAATCTTAATGATAATTTTACATTCAAATGGACCGTGTGCTAAATGCTGGAACATGAGGCAGTAGAACAATGAGAAGCTGATTTTTAACGCAATGAACGTATAGTATAACATTAGCCAAAGCAGATTGCTGCTATAATATGACACTGCTATTCGCTTATTATGCTAATTGCTTTTACGTTTTTACAAATTGTCCATGTGTTGTGACGGGATAAAGGAAACGACGTATGCCGCTAGGGCCGGGCCCTATGATTATTCGCCGCCATTTTGTTTTAGGGAGAGAAACAGGATGCCGACAGCAGCCACTGCCGAGGAATCTGCTCTATTGGGGTAAGTTTTCGAGTAAAGGAGAAGAAAGAACTTAAAGAGACCGTCGCGCGTAATTGCTACTATTTTCTATCTTTCGGCAAGTATCGCATTAAATCGTAGTTGTAATTTATTTGTTAATGCGTAGATACGTAGTAGGAGTACGATATAGTTGATATTGATAAGTCTACGGATCGAGAATGTAGCCACTTTTATATTACTCGTTCACATCTACTCTGAACTGTTTCATTCCAGTTGCATAAAAATTTCACTCATTTGACGTAGAACAGGTAGGAATGAATAAACTTGCAAATTTAATTTTATATTAAAATTTCATCTGAAATGACGAACGTTTTCAAATCTAATTAATATTATATTATTATAACAAACGGAAAAACGAGCTAATATATTATAGAATATATAAAAATTGATATAATAATTTAGAATTTATTTGAATACTATCTTCTATCTTTAATATTTGCCATATGATGAGAATAGACAAAAAATCTGTTGATTTTACTTGCAAAAAGATTTGCAAAAAGAGAAAGAGAGATATCTCTAAATTAAAATACATAGAATATTAGAATACAGCTTCAAATGCTGAGAGTGAGTAGAAATGAGATATATGTCGTCATATTCCTAGGGGTTTTTAACTGTCATGCAAGATTGACATTGACCCTAATATATCCATGTATAACGCCGCTTAACTAAAACTCGCAATTGTGTTATTAAAAGTTATTATAGACTATTGAGCTGAATAACTCTTAATGGTCATCAGCATATAAGTAAATGATACTTCGAGATATTATAATATTGTAATATTATATATATATATATGTATAATTAAATTAAGAAATAATATAAAGAGAGAGAGAGAGAGAGAGAGAGAGAGAGAGAGAGATTGCAATTAAAGATGAAGATGATTTTAGAATTTATCTCGACAGTCGCACAGCATATTATGTAAAAGCACGTAATACATTATTCTAAAAACAAAGCAGCAATACAATGCGTGATATGGCAGCTAAATTATTGTATTATTTTATTATTACGATTTTGGTTTAAAAGTGTCACTTAATGAATGACCCAACTACTTTTTAGAGCTATGGCCTAAATTCAAGAGGCTTATGAAACTTAATTGTTTAAGACAGTTTAACGGAAGTTCCTAAACTTTCGACATTTAAGTTGTTTAATAGAGCTACTTCATACTTCTTACAAACTCGCATCGTTGCTGGTGCCATTTTCTAATTTAAATGTAAATGTAAATTTAAAATCAAATTTTGCTTTAAGACTGTCCAGTTTCGTCAGTTTTTTATCAAACTTAATCCATGCAACATATTATTTATTAACTTTATTACGCGTTTTTTCCTTTGTCCTTTTTTCAAATTTATTTTAATAAATTCAATTTCGAGAAAACTTTCCGGATGTATTCTTTACAACTATATAAAAATTTTTGTATTTTTTGTATTATTATTATAAAATTTTAAAAATCGTAAACTAATTGTAAAATGATAATAATAACGTTGCAATTTATAAGAAATATTCGTTGAAAATGTGTCAATGTGCTAAACGAGCAAATGTGAAAGGGACTTTAATGGAACGTAACATCTACTATGTAATAGCGAGCTTAGGAGCTCCCTGAGGTTAACGATGTAATTTCACCATGTCACTCCTTGTTCGTATCAGTCTTTGAACAAAGATGCTCCACTTGTTAAGATAAAGGACGAGGTCATATGCCTCTCTTGACTAGTTCTCACAGCAAAGTAATTAACATCAAAATTAGAACTAATTAGGAATCATTAGGGCATCGTATAAACGCCTTCTTCACGATGTCATGCAATGTCGCTTCAAAAAGAGCTATTTGAAAAGAGATTCTGACATATATATATATGTATGTATCTCATCTTTTTTGATTGTGCAAATAAGACGATATTACAAATTAAAATATGATGTTTTCTAAATCAGCCTAAGAGCCATAGCACGAAAAATTACGAAAATTAATTATTTTATATTGTTTATATTGAGAGCCGATAAAAATATTTATTTCTGAGATATTACAAATGTTGTAAACATACGTTCTTAAATTTAATTTTTTGTACAATAAATGCAATGATAAAATATGTGCATATTCTATTTTTAAAAAATTTTAAATAGTACTTAAAATGTCGCATGTAAATATTATCCAACAATATAATGTTTAATGTTAAATTTCAGATATAAAATCTATTATAATCTCAGAAGAGAATTAATTTGACTTGTTATTAATTTAAAACAATTCGAAAATATTAATATTTAAATACGGAGCGTTACTCCGTAGGTATTATTTAAATATTACATTCTGATTCTAATTCATTTACTTCTTAAACCTGTTAATCACAACAGATATAAATATTAAATTTTAAATTCCTGTGCATCCTTTAATTTAGCACATCTAAATTTTACAAATTTTGATTAATTTTATTAAAAATATTCTTCATAAACATTGTCTTTTAAAATCGTTTATAATAGATACTGATGCTAGCTATAATGTTATTCATACGAGCTCTTAGGAATATTCAATTAATCTAATCAATTAAATAAAATTTATTTTGCATGAATCTTTCTTTTGATCTGCGCAAATAAAATTATAGTTTGTAGTGATTCATTTTGTGCAGATAAAAGATGACATTTCGCTTTGAATAGGCCACTGCTCTTTGCATCGTGAAGAAAGCGGAAGTATATCGATCGAAGTGCAACTTGAGTTAGCAACGCAAGTTCTTTGTCAACTGAAAGAGTACTCTGGCATTTGTTAATTATCGTATCTCTCCTGTATAACATAAATTTTGTTTCTTTCTTTTTCTAGAAATTAGTCTTTACTTATCTTGAATTTAACGCCTTTATCATTCGTTACGTAAGGGGATGATAAATTACTCCGATAGAAGGTCGAAACGATTCTATGTATGTGACGCGACGTCAGTGTTTGCTCTACTTTGCTAGAAATTCGTTTAAAGTAACTTGGCATTAGGCCAATTCCACCTCGATCGAATGGCATCGACTTTGAAATATCTTTATATTTCGATAAAGATAACGCAGTGATTAATATAATATATTAGCGCACAAAGTAATTATTTATTCGAATCTTTTGATATAAATTATTTTGACATAGAATGCAATATGCATTGATCAATATTTTATATGCAATAGACGTAAAATCAGAGATAAACAATTAAATTTTTTGTTGCAAATGCAGAGAATAAATAGTCAATCAAAGCAACATGTAAAAAATTGATTTAAAACTATATTTATATGAGGAAATATATAACAAAATCTAAAGCAATAGTAAAATTTGCGAATTGCAAGAGAGATTGTATATTTTTCAATTAAACAAACTATTACTAATCTTGGATCTCTGATCCATTCTTCTCTGATAGAAATGCAAAGTCTAACTAAAATAACCAGCGCTCTACAATATAATAATAATAAACGCAGTTCTGTTTACAACGTGTTTTGCACCATACTTATATTTGTAATAGAGATTTATTTGCTTGCTTGGTTCGTGAGGGATCAGTAGTGGGATGTGTAAATCGATTCTTATTGTGCGGCTTCGTCTTACAGGCAAATGATCAGAAAGAATCTATCTACGCACTTCGGTTATTCGATCGATATAAAGAGTGCTATCACATAAGATATCGAATAAAGGCATATTCAATACTGTTTGATGCCGATTATTTGGTTTTAGATTGTGGTCGATCGATTGCATTTAAGAAAAATTCAGTGACGTTATTTGCCATTTAAACACAATTGAGAAATAAATATTATTATTTAAAGTTATATTATTCTTTTTTAAGAAAAAAATCTCTAATAATAAATTTATAAAAATACGAAAAAAGTAGTTTACAGTATAAACTTTCTATTTTTCTGATAAAAAAATATATACATATATATTGAAGATAGAAATAATACATTAAAAATAACATTTTAATTATATATTGTTATGACGAATTATTATTCTTCTAATGTACTTTATAATCGATATCCAATATCTTTCTTTTAATAGCTTATTTAAAGCTATTGCAAATCTTTCTTTCGACGGAGCTCGTATTTTATAAATTTATTTCGTAGTTAATTTAAGCACGAGAGCTTTTTAAGTTTCAAAATTGCAAAATATGAGAACAAAATCCAGCCTAAAGGAATATTGCACCATTTTTCATTTAAGTGGGCATTTTCAACGAGCCGGTTAAATATTCGTAACGCGAGATATCTCTGAAAATTCAAAAGTAGGATTTCAGGTTGATCCAGGATCAACCAGTTCTTTGTTCTATGAATTCTATTTCTATTGCTAAAAGTGGTATAACTTTTCAGTTTAAAATATACTTATGTAAAATTTTATTTGTTTGATTTACTAACAAAAATAACTGCTAAAAATGTATAAAATATATCGATGTTAGTTCGAATATAAGTTCATAACATGTCTAATATATGGAATTTTAATAGTATATATTTTGCATTTAGCCTTTCATAAAATATTTCAGATATACATATAAGAAAAATAAAAAAATTATTTAATAATTTTTATTATTTGATTAAATTATAAATATTAATAAGAAGATTCTTCAAATCCTCATTTTTAATGAATTTATGTCGAATAATTAAAATTGTAATAACATATAATTCATAAAATTTGATTATGTGAATTTACATACACGTGCCTTTATACTAATATGATGCAATCACTTGTCACTTTAAATATCATGACCTTTCTAGGAAATATATACGAGTAATAATCTCTTGTACATATTTCAAGAATGTAAACAGTGTCTTTTTAACGCTTCGTATTTATTCAAACTTATTTCTCCATTTTTTGTTATTACTTATAAAGTAAAAGTTATTTGAAAATAAATATTTCACGTTCAATTATACAATTATCTTATAATTATTTAATTATTTTATGATTATTTTCAAGTTTAATATATTCCAAATAAAACTGCAACTTCCGAAAAATTAATAAACTAGAAATCTTTATAAAAAAAGATTTCAAAATTTTTATA